AGAAATATCTCCACCCTCCCTGGGTGGAGCTGGAAAAGGCATTAAAGACCTTCAGATTCTTCAGAGGGGAGCACTTCAGAGCCATAAGCAAATAGTATTTCTTTTGTAAATGTAAAATTTTGCTCAGAGAATAACTTTATTGCCTCGCTCTGCTGAAAAAGCCTCTATTTCTATATTGCCTTATAACAAAAATACCTCCCATTCATTGACTACTAAAGTCTATGAGATATAAACTCTTACTGCCTCTATTTTAACAAATGAGGAAACTGAGGCGCACAGAGTTTGAATAACTGGCACAAGGTCTCTATCTATTGCCGGATCTACTCTATTTCACCCCTACTACCTCAGAGTTAAATAAGGTGGGAGAAAAAGAAATTTTCACCCTGCCTCACAAGTCTTGATGTATGGGAATGCTTCCCCAGAAGTCCCTCAGACTTGCCAGTGACTGAGTGGGTGAGATGGAATCTCATTGTCCCTCCAATCCCTGAAGGAGATTTGATGGGGCTGGGACCTGGCCAGCAAGGACACTTCTCCAGGCCTCTCCTGGCCTTACATGGTCAGCAGGGAGCCCGGGAATCTGGGAGCATTTTCACAAGGGCATTCTCAGGGAGCTTCTTCATAACCAGGTGACCTGGATGTGATGAAGCGAAGAATCACAGAACTACAAGAGGCGTTAAGAAAACCCCGCCCTATCTGAAGAAAGAGGAACTAAGGGGGTGCCCTGTGAATCCAGCCTGCGTGCATCCCTGGGAACAAACCCAAAAGAATATTCATTAGCGCAGGAGCTGGGCCGCACATTACCAAAGTGCCACGAAGAGATTCTAAGAACAGAGGGAGCCTTGCATTTCACTTAAAATACACTACTGGTGGCCAGTGATGAAAAAAATGTCTGGAAGTCCTCATCAGACAAGGGTGCTTTAGGTAAAACAAAATTGAAGGAAATGTTTTCAGCCACAGTGGGACTACACTCATTTGTCTTTATGTTTTTATTTATTTTATTTTATTTATTTTTTATTTTTAGAGGACGGTTATTAAAGCTGGGGACTGAAACAAGGGCCTCGCATAGAAGAAGCAACGGGAGAGAGAGTCAGTGGGGAAGTGAGCCCAGGCTGGGAGGCTTTGGCTCACTGGGAAGTCAGAGAAAAGGGGCCTTGGAGACAGGTTCAGGGGGTAAGCCCTGGACGAGCTGCCGCTGCCCACTGCTCCCCTGGTTGCAAGTCTCATGGGGTCCCTTAGAGTTGCCTATGGGGGAAGTAGAGGGGGAAGGGGAAGGCGCGGGCGAGCTCCTGGGAGCGAGCGCTCCCCTCTTTGTCTTTAAAGGGGCCCCAGCAAGGGGAAGCCCGATCCTGTGTCTCACGCTCCACAAATACAACAGTGACTCAAATTCTCCTTTCTGCTGCCACAAAGGGAGGGGACAGTTTACTTTTCCTACAATAAATCTAAAGTAGATAATCATTCTTTTCTCCCGTTAAAAGGCAACACTCACAGCCAAAAAAGATTCTCTTTTTCTAGTGCATCTAAACTCAGAATTTCACATAGGCCTGTAATAACATACCAGCCCCCGAACACAGGCCAGTTTCATCCTACAGCTCCCAATCAGAAAAAATATATATTTTAGTTGGAAAAGGAAAGTATTGAGAGCTAAATGTCATAGCAAATCCTTAAGCATATGGATGATTTCATGGCTACATAGCCAACCCATTTCCCCAACATTCACTGGGAAAAGAGATGATACCTGTTTTTCCAGGTGCAGGAAGCTGAGTGCCCTGCTTGGTGGGATGGCATGTCCTTTCAGGTGCCATGTCGCAGTGGTCCCCAGGAAGCCAGTCACTCATCCAGCCCTAGGGTGATGAACTGCCAAAGTTCTGGAGACAAAGAACTTTACCCCTTTTTAAAAATGGATTAATTGAGGATTGATTGATTGACTTTAGAGAGATAGGAAGAGTGACAGAGATCAATTTTTTGTCCCACATATTTATGGATTCATTGGTTGATTTGTGTATGTGTCCTGACCCAGAATCAAACCCACAACCTTGGTGTATCGGGACAACACTCTAACCAACTCAGCTACCTGGCCAGGGCTTCACTTCTTTTTAAGGTAATGCAATTTTCTATGAAGGGCTTATAACCTTTAAAGGAACTTAAAGTAGTTACATTCTGGCTTTGATATAGAGGCCATTTGTTCCACACGTTTAAATCAACCCAGTTACATTCCAATTTACACAGTTAATATTTGCTGAGTGGCTACTACGAACAAAGCACTCCATACATGCCCACGAATAGCAGCTCTCACTCACGGAAGGGAAATGAGAAGACCTGGGGAGCTTTTCTTTTCTTTCTTTTTAACAGCTTTGTTGAGGTTTAGTTCACATATCCATAAAATTTTAAGTATACAATTCAATGATTTATAGTAAATTTGCAGAATTGTCACAATGCAACTTTAGAACATTTTCATCACCTCAGGAGCTTTAAAATAGACTGAGGTACAGGCCTCACCCAGAGCAATTTAGTCAGACTTTCTGGGTGATTTAAGCAGTTTCTCAAGTGGTTGTGAAATGCAGCGTATTGAGAAGGGCTGTTGTTCAGGACATGAACACGGGTGGTGCCTGGTTCCTGCTCTTAGGGGACTTACAGTCTAAGCTGTCTTATCCTTGGCACTGTGGACATTTTGAGCAGGATAATTCCTTCTTGGGAAGGGCAGGCTGTCCTGTGTATTGTACGGTGTTTTGCAGCATCCCTGGCCTCTACCCACCAGATGCTAGCAGCACTGCCCTCCCCAAACTATAAGGGCGAAAAATATCTCCAGATATTCTTAAATGACCACGGGGGGGAAGGTTCCCCCTGTTGAAAACTACTGGTCTACAGAGGTGATAAGACATGATTCCAAATAGGTTGAGTACTTGACAGAGGCATAGTAATACCATGAGAGATACAAAAGCAATGCTATAGCAGTTTAAAGAAAAAGAGATCTTGTGTGTGTCTCAGTGTGACAGAGTGGCAAGATGCTGGGCTTGGAAGCTACAAATGTTTAGACCGATATCTTGGGTCTGCCACTGGCCGGCTTTCTGATCTTGGATAAGATAGTTACATTCTAGGAACCTGTTTTCTCATAGTAACCATTCAGTATGAATCATTTATACAATTTAGTATTATTTGCAAAAGAAAGATAATGAAATCTTGGCAGGGGGAGTAGAGGTGGTGTGCCAAGTATTAGCACATAGTAGGCACTTGATATAGCCTTACACTGCCTGAGCATTGACTCTGCTGGGCAATGGAGTAAATGGAAAACTGGGGAAATGTGTGAGACTTTGATAGAAATAATGAGGAAACAGCATGAACAAAGGGGAGAGGCTTAGATGTATGGGGCGTGCTTGGGTAAGAGGTAACGTTCATTTTGCACTTAGGGGAACAGGCACTGTCCTAAGCATATTCCACATGTCATCTTATTTTATCTTTACAAACAACTTTGGGAGATCTGTACTGTAATCTTCTCGTTTACAGATGGAGAAACTGAAGTATAAAGAGGTGAAGGAACTTGCGTAAGATCTCATGGCCGTCAAGGGGGCCAGCCAGGATTTGAAACCAGACAGCTTGCATTGCAGCCTCACAACAACCAGATGGAAGTACCCGAGGCTCCGCGAGCGTGTGGAGTTTCTCCAACACAGCAGCTCAGTCGCAGGGATTAGACTGAAATGTGAGTTTCTCTGTTCCCGAATCTTTACTTTTCTTCAAAACACCATTGTCTGACTCTGAATTGTGAGGTGCTTTAGATACTGTAGCTTCCTAATTACTTTAAAAATATTTATTGTATGCCCATCATTCATTCAAAATAGTCAATGGAGTATGTGCATAGGGCGAGAGCCCCAGAGCTACAGAGAACTAAGGCATCATGGTCGTATCCCAGGACATCACAGTCTTGAGTGGAAACAGACACACGAACAGTTACTTCTAACAGTGGGAGAGTGTAAAAAGCACTCTGTCTAGAAAACAGGATGAACGAAATTCTTCCCAAGGGAGCAGAAACTCGATGCGAAGGCCCAGGAACCCTGCTGGGGCAGAGTCTGTACTCAGTTCTCCCCAATAGGGCACAGGCGAGAACAGAATCAAAAGGCATTTTAAGATGAGTCGAAGGTAGGATGGAAGTGGGTGGAGAGCAGATAAACTGTTAGTCCAGGCAGAAAGCTCTCCTGGGAGACTGGGAATGAAGCGGGAGACGCTGGGGCCCTGAAGTAGGGCCGTGAAGGTGGGGAAGAGAGGGGAAGGGGACAGGGGGTGCAGAGCATGTACCCAGTGAACACGCAGTTAGTGGTCAAGTCCTTTTGTGCTCAGTCCGCGTGGAGGACTTGCAGAGGGAGGGGGCGTGAGGCGCAAGGCCGGGTCCCAGTAATTACTCCCCTAACCCGGGGGAGCTTCTCGGACCCAGAGCCAAGGAGGACTAGACAGTTGTCCTTTGGCCATGCAGATGCTTCTGAGAATGCGTCTGACATCTGGGAGGAAATGAATGAAAGGTCGAGACAAGCTTTCCCAAATTTTTAATTTTGCTAAGGCCCCTGCTGACACTTGCTGAGTGAATGCTAACTCCGAGCAGCTCTTATTATCACAAGGATGCAATTCTCACTAAGTAAGCAGGGCTCGGCGCTGCTCTCTGCCACCTTCCCCTGCAGCCACGACCTTGAAGGCTGAGCTCTGTGGTTCTAACAGGGGTAAGATCTGCCCTGGACAAGGGAGGCTCTGCACCAGGACGGACTGAAAAGGTTTCCCAGTTTCTTAATGCCAAAGGCGAGCCTGCATCCCTTTCTGAGGGGAGTCCTTGGCAGGTCAGCTGGGCTGTGCTCTGCAGAAGGACGCACAGGAAAGGAAGGCCCGGATCCATTCACAAGAAAAGGACCCGCTGTGCAGTCAAAGCCCAAAAGGCCGTCACTGGTGCATCTCTTGCTGATTTAACGACCAAAAGGGGTCAGAAAGGCCTGAGGAAAGGTGAAGATGGATGAAAGTTTAACATGGTGGCGGTGGTGAGCGGGCAGGCTAAATATCCATCTCAGACGGTGAGTAAAGACAGGCTAAATTTATTAAAAGGGGATGGGGGTATCCAAAGGGAAGGGCTACACAGCACTGAGCCAAAGGGTATTGGGTCTATGATGGCAGCAAAAATATACTTGGGACAGTGAAACTAGGAAGAGCATAGAAAAGCAACAGGAGAACCTAGGCTGGGCTGCTTTGGCTCACTGAGAAGTCAGAGAGAGAAGGGGGTCTGGAGACAGGTTCGGGGACCTTGGAGACAGGTTCAGGGGGCAAGCTCAGGATGAGCTGCGGCTGCCCATTGCTTCCTTGGTTGCAAGTCTCGGGCTGGCGTGGTCCCCTGGTGGGGATCGTGCCCTGGCTCATTTATCTCCTTCTTGCAGGTGAGAATCTTAGGGGAGGTGTCAAGGGAGGGTCTCAATAGAATATTCGTCAGCTTTCCAGGTGTGCTCTTTCAGGGTCGAGGTCTCCACTGATTGGCCAGTGCCAGGGCAGGGGGTCATTAGTCCATGCACCTGGTCCTTCGTCAGCCACTTGTCTGGTTTTGCTGCTTACCTGGGCTGGAGCTGAAATACAACTGAGGCCTAGATGTTATCTTTAGGGAGCCATTCCTGCCGCCTACAACAATAAGATGTGCAGCGGGAAGGCAAAGTCAGAGGGACATGAGGCGGGGCCAGTCCTGCGCGTAGCTGGGCGTTTGGGTATTATCCTGGGGTGAGGGGAAGTTCTACTAAATTGTGCAATGTCTCTACTTTCCTTTCTCCTGCTGCTGTGCCCTCTCCTCCTTCCTATGCTAGTCAGCATGTGCTTGTCATTCCCACCAAGTGTGTCAGTGGAGATGGGAGCATTAATTTATTTAGCAGACTTGTGTCACCATCACTTGGAGAAAAGGCACTGGACCCATCACTGTACACTCAGATAATGTGATTAGGACCAGTTGGAAAGCAGCAAACCTCAGGCCCTCCTAATTCAGCCCTGACTGCATCAGCCCTTTCTGCTTCTCGGCCTATCTTTTTAGGCATTCTACTTTCCTATCCCCCCCTTCTCATCCCCTTCTCCCCACTACCACACACACACACACACACACACACACACTTTGCCCATCTCAGTCTCTCCCTTGTCTTGATTCTTGTAATGGCAAACCACGATACTCACTAACCTTCCATAACAAGGAAGGGATAAATTCTTAGGATCCATCTCCCTTAATGGAAGGGACTGTAATAAAAAGATGTTTCGATCCTAATCTCTTCACATCTTTATTAGATTCATGAAATTCTAAGGAGGGACCTTAGAGACTATCTAGTGAAATTTAACTCCTTTGTTTTAGAAAGAACAGTCCTGACTGTCCCCACCAGGGGTGGCTCAGCCCCCACGCTGCATCCTGTGGTTGAAACACCAGAGGGTTTGGTAGTTTCTCTTTGAGAATGTGGAAGATGGGAAATGGGCCTTGAATTTGAAATTCGGTCATTGCACTGGTCAAAATTGAGGACTGAAGAGATAAGCCCCAATATTAGCAATAATAACAAAAACAAAAAGTAAAAATGGAGCTGCCTTATGTCCCAGTGATTCTACTTCTGGGTAAAGTATATCTGAAGAAATCCAAAACACCAACTCAAAAGAATACAAGCACCCCTGTGTTCATGGCAGCGTTGTTTACAACGGCCAAGATAGGGAAACAGCCTAAGTGCCCATGAGTAGACGAGTGGATAAAAAAGCTGTGGGACATATGTACAATGGAATCTTGCTGGGCCATAAAAAGGAATGAAATCTTACCATTTACAACAGTATGGATGGACCTAGAGGGTATTATGCTGAGTGAAATAAATCAGGAAGACAAATACCATATGATTTCACTTATATGCAGAATCTAAAGAACAAAACAAGCTAAATAGAAACAGACTCATGGATGCAGAGAACAGACGGATGGTGGCCAGAGTGGAGCAGGATTGGGGGACAGGGTGAAAAAGGTGAAGGGATTAAGTACAAATCGGTAGTTACCAAAATAGTCACAAGGATGTAAAGTACAGCATAGGGAATACAGTCAATAATATTGCAGTAACTATGTATGGAGCCAGGTGGGTACTGGAAACATTGGGGGTAACACTTTGTAAACTATATGATTGTCTGACCACTATGCTGTACACTTGAAACCAATACAAAATAATATTGAATGTAAACTGTAATTGAAAAATACAATTAAAAAGATGTAACTTTTTTGGACAGATTTCCTCATTCTGGTATATTTTTAAAAAGAGTACAACCAGCCCTGACCCATGTGGCTCAGTGGCTAAAGCGTTGGCCGGAGCACCAAAGGGCCGCAGGTTCGATTCCCTGTCAAGGGCACACCTCTGGGTTGCAGATTCGCTCCCTGCCCCAGTCCAGGCTCGTGTGGCAGGCAACTAATTGATGACACACATTGATGTTTCTTTCTTTCTCTCTCTCTCCCTCCCTCCTTCCCTTTCACTCTCTCTAAAAAATATGGAAAAAAATATCCTCAGGTGAAGATTAACAAAAAAAAGGAGTACAAAGAGATCAAACAAAGAACGTATGTGAATATATGCATAACCTATGAAGGCCTGTGGGGGGCAGGGTAGGGTGGAGGGGGGCAAAAGGTGGAAATGGGGGATACCTATAACAGCCAACAATAAAAAAATAAAATAAAATAAAAATAATAGAAAAAAAAGGAGTACAAAGAGTAGGCAAGTTAGGCAGGACTGGGTTCAAGTTTTGATTCTGAAACTTAATAGCTGGGTAACTTTAGTACATAATTACATTTCACAAGTACACGAATTAACTAATGGGATATATCTAGATGACCACCATCCTCCCTCGTTTTGAATTTTCTCTCCCTCTCTCCCCTCCCTTCCTCTCTTCCTCCCTCTCTGTCCCTTCCTCCCTCCCTCCATCTCTCCCTTTCACTCTCCCTTTTGATTAAAAAAAAAATTATATATATATATATATATGTATATATATATAATGTTATATCCTTATTGATTTCAGAGAGGAAGGGAGAGGGAGAGAGAGATAGAAACATCAGTGATGAGAGAGTCATTGATTGGCTGCCTCCTGCACGCCTCCGACTGGGGATCGAGCCCACAACCCGGGCATGTGCCCTGACAGGGAATAGAACCCCAATTTCCTAGATCCTAGGTCGACGCTCAACCGCTGAGCCACGCCAGCTGGGTTCCCTTTTGATTTTTTCAAGAGCTGTGTGGCATTCTAAAGACATTCAGAATGTACAATATACCATAAACATTTAATGAAAATGTTGACATTTTTCTAAGAAAATGCTTCAGCGTTCACAGCGGGTGTCATGCCAAACCAAAAGCAATGAGGAGGAGGAGAGGGAGGAGAAACGGTGAGAGGGATTTATGAAGGAAGGAAGGAAGGAAGGAAGGAAGGAAGGAAGGAAGGAAGGAAGGAAGGAAGGACTACGTAATATTCTCTCTCCTCTCTCCCTTTCTCTCTCCCTCACTCTTGGAATGCAAATTCCCAGAGTGTAAGTTTCCCAAATATACTTTTACCTTTATATCAACTTGTCCACGTATCCCAGAATAAAGGTTGGATGGACGGCTGGTCTTGAATTAGATGGGCAGATGTATATCAAGCCTTTGCATGGAGAGCGTTTTCCAGGTTTGTATCGGCCCCAGAGCTGGGATTACGAGCATGAATAAGAAAGATCTCTGCTTTCAGGTGGCCTGCACTCCAGCTGGGGCACATAGTCTCATGAAAATGACAATAGCTGTAATGCAAAGCAGACGTTCACGCGTAAAAAGAGCATGTGTAAAAGGAACCAAATAACTAAATTGTCCTTTCTGTGGGTCCTTGGGGTTTGTACATCTAAGGATTAGGATAGGAGGGTGTGGGGCAAAGCTGGTACTGTTGACTCGAACCCTAGTCCACTCATAGCCATCACCCTCTCTAGTCTGAGCTGTTTCAGTAACCTCCTGAGTGGTATCCCTGCTCCCTTACAGTCCATTCTGAACACAGCAGCCAGACTGATCCAGATAAACACACATCAGATTATGAAACTGCTCAGTGGCTTCCTGAGTCACTGGAAAATGTTGTCTTAACCATGGCTCCCAAGGCCTCCAGGATCCGGTCCCTGTTTTCTCTCTGACCTCATCTCCTGCCACTCTCCCAGGCACATGCAGCTGAGGGCCCTCCCTCAGTTTCCTCAGATCTTTATGCAAATAACATCTTCTTTGATCACGCTATTTAAAATTGCAACTTCTCTTTCTCTGCTTTGACTTGTCACTATTATACTGTATAACTAACTGTACTGCTTCGCTAGGGCTGCCATAACAAGGTATCTCTCACTGGGAGACTTAAACAACAACAACTCATTTTCTTGCAGTTCTGAAGACTAGAAGTCTGAGATCAAGGTGTCGGCAGGGTTGGGTTCTTTGAGGCGTCTCTCCTTGGCTTTAGCTGGCTGTAGTCTCCCTGTGTCTTCACATGGTCTTCCTTCTGCACAAGACTGTGGCCTCATCTCTTCTTATAAGAATACCAGTTATTAGATTAGATTAGGGCCTATCCTAATGGCCTCATTTAACCTTAACTACCTTTGTAAAGGCCCTATTTCCAAATACAATCACCTTATGAGATACTGGGGGCTAGGATTTTAACATATGAATTGGGGGGGGGAGGGGCACAATTCAATCCATTAAAAAATAACTGAAGTATTTATTTTTATTTCTCTCTTAGTAAGTTTCATGAGGGCAGGAGTTATTGTTTATTTTGTTTATTGCCAGGTACTCAGAACCATGGCTAGCACAGAGTGGGTACTTAATCAATATGTGAAATAAATGAGTAGTAAAGGAATAAAAAAGAAAACAAAATAATCTTTCAGTAGTTTGGATATGTAATAATGGGGTGGATGGTGGTGGTAGGAATATGCATAATGAGTTTAGAGAGCTGTCTTCAGCAAGGATCACATTCTTCTCTGGTCTTAGCTGGATGAAGCTCCATTTCTCAAACTGCATCTTTGTTCCTGCCCCCAACAGGTGTCACCGAAAGCAGCCCA